ATAGAAGTTCTCTGGTAATATCTCAAACTTCTAAGTAGAATCTAGTTGATTTGTAATGAAAATATTCTAGCCTTTATGCTTTCTTTGCACATCTTACTGGCTGTAGAGTTTTGAATGAATGCTGACTAAATCATAGTTTGCTATTAAAGCTTCCAAATGTATAATCAAGAATTAATATATAGGCAGATATTATTGTGTTGCATTATAAATTCTTGGTAGATTGGAAATTTACTTATTTCTGCAACTAATTTGTGATACCTCAAATTTTTTGTATATGATACTGAGACTGAACTGAATATTTTAGTAGCCATTGATACCTCTGAGGATGACTTGAAACAGAGTCCTGCCCCAAGGAATTGAAGTGTTCATGTAATCGGTCATCAATTCTTGCTGATCTTGTATAGTTCTCGTGTAGTGGAGGCCTGGCAAGAAGGCCTGAATGATGAACATAATCTTAGTTATGCCTTGAAAAATACAAAAAAAAAAAAACCCCAAAAAAGTCAAAGGAGAGATGGATTAAAGCTACTTCTTGGAGTATCACTCTGCTCTGGCTTTGATTTTTATTGTTTTCATTCATAGTGTTTTTATAATAGATCTAGGAAAAGTTCAGATTTACATTGTTTATGTCATTTTAAGGACTTGAGAAATATGGTTGTTACTTAAATTACATTTCATAGATGTATTATTTAAAAGCAAACACTTATTTTTTCAAACTAAATTTCTTGTGTGATGGCTTTTCTGTATTTGTGCTTCCTTCTTACTACTTTACCGATTTTGTGTCACAAAGTTGCAAGTTAAGATATAAAGTATATTAAGGGATCACTTAAATCAGAAACAAGTGTAGCTTTTTTAACAAAAAATTAATAACAGAAGTCTTTTGAAAGAAGAAAAGCTAATCCTTTTGTTTAATCTTAATCTACTTTTAGGATTCGTATGTGAATATTTTGTGAATATGTATGCTTATTACATGTTATGGCTTTGTACTGCAGTGATCAGATGTCCCAGTTAAGCCTACAAACGAGCCTGGTAGGATATAAACAGAAATACAAATAGACAAAATCAGTATCCAATGACTTGATTGGAAATGTGATATATGCCTTTTGGGATACTACTTAGTAGGTATAGTATTATAAAATATATATCCACTTCTGTTAAAATATAAATTGAATTTCTATTCCCATATCATCAGTCTAGTTATTGTTTATAGTCATATTTTAATGTGCTCTTGAATCTTGAGATTCACCTTTCTGAGTTGAACCAGGAAAAGTGTTTATGCAGACAAGACGAATGTCTCAGGAATTAAAGGATATTTAGAGGTCAGCACTATTTCTCTTTGATGGCAGACTGAATTCTGGCATGCTTTTAAAAATGTGAGTAGATGAAACTCAATAGGCGATGTAGCAGAGAAGAAAATATTAAAATTTTAATATAGATGCATAAGAAAATCAACACTTTTCATTTTTTTGCATAGTTTCGATTTCTGTTTCTTAGCATTTTCTTTGCTTTGTGAGACAGTGTCATTGTGCTACTTTTCTTTTTCAAGTATATTTGGCTTTAAGCTGCTTACCGAAGTGGCAGAAAGTAGAAAAGGACAATCTCTAAAACAGAATACTAGAACTTTCTTAAGTCAACAGATCAATAAGATAATATACAGGACTTTTATTTTCTCATATAATAAAATTGGGACAATATTTTCAAGTGTAATGATGAAATTTTCAAAAGCGTGTTGATAATTTTTCCATCTTTATACTGTTTAATCCAAGAATTTCAGTACTGTGCCAAGTCTTCCTGTAATTGAACAAGCCTGGCGTCTGATTACCTTATGCTACCAGGATTTTCTTAGAATTATAGAATCATTATGGTTGGAAAAGACCTTTAAGATCAAGTCCAACTGTAAGCTTTTCCACACCCTGCCTGTTAAACCATGTCCCTAAGTGCCTCATCTACACATTTTGTGAACACTGCCAGGGTTGGTGATTCCATGACTTCCCTGGGCAGCCTGTTCCAGTGCTTGACTACTTCTGTAGTCAATAATTGCCTAATTATTGACTAATATCTTGCCTAATATCTTAGATGGACCTCCCCTGATGCAACTTGAGACCATTTCTCTTGTCCTATCGGTAGTTATTCTGAAGAAGAGATTTTGATTAATATAATTTTAAATAGTAAAGGAATATGATGCTGCCTCTATGATGGGTGTTGTGGTTGACAAGATTTTTTTTAAAAAAACATTTATTTCTTAATCTTTTTGTAGTCTGGTTTCTTGATTCTAATTAATACAGCTCTTATGTTCTTTCTTCTTCAGCCTATTTTCCAAAGAAAGCTAGCCATAAATGACTAGATAACCCGTTTGCCTTCTTTCTCTCTCCCTTCAGATAACTTTTGAATCTGTTGATAAATCAGTAGCTAAATAGTCCTGCTGTGAGCCCTAAATGGGAAAATCATCCTTTTCTTCTTCTGTTTGTTCTTCTGACTGGTTGGCTGGCCAGTCAGCACCCCTGTCCTGGCTGACMAGTTACCAGAATGCTTAGTTCCAGACTAGCCACAGGGTGTACTGACTTTTCCCAGCTAGCAAGCAGGACAGATACGGAGTAGGAGACATAGGTGGTTATCCTGGGATTAACTATAGATCTTGTGAGACATATGGAATATGGGGGGGAGTATGAGTTATTTGGAAGGCATGGACATCATAGAATCATTCAAGCCAGAAGACTCTTTGGTGATCATCTAATCCAACTTTTTGCTGAAAGTTGCTGCAATGCTGAGTTTAGACTGGGATGCTTAGAGCGTTTTCCCCCTTAGTCTTGGAAACCTGTGGGGATAGAGATTCTGTAGCTTCTCTATGCAAACTGTTCCAATGTTTARTTATCCTCATGATGAAGGAGAGATTGGCAGAATTTTCCATCTCAAGTATCATTTCTGAATCTTAATTAAATCCCCATTTTAACTTGCATTTTGTCATTCAGAGTAGGTTGCTTACACATGTTTACGTAGTAAAAATGTGCATGCTGAATAGTACCTGATATTGCAAGTCTGAATTGCAAAAATAGATCTTACAAATATGAGTAATCCTACTGACTTCAAGGGCTTAATTTCCATGAGTAAGAGTTTGTGGCTTTGGTATCTTAATGCGTGTCTGCTTTCCATTATATCTTCAGCTTTCAGCAAGTTCAGTAGAGTCCCATCTCTGTTGCAGAGAACAAATTGGGCACCAAGAAGGATTTGATTTTTTTTTTAAGTGATAAAGCAGCAATCAGTTAAAAGTATATATAGCTATTGCTAAAATCCTTAAGGTAACATGTACAATATGAAACCGGTGATGGCTTAAGTTAAAGAGATAACGACTTCAAAGAATCATTAAAAAAATTAATATCACAAGTATATGACATAGAGAATTCAGCTCTGGGAAGTGTGGGAATGATGTACTGTAGTGATGTAATAAAATATACATTTAAATAGACAGTGCAGATCAAAAAAAGAAAAAAAAAAGAGGAAGAGATGGAGCAAGCAAGAGCTGCAGGAAATACAATCTTTTTCATGCCGCTTCATACAAAATCAGTTCTAATAGCCATATCTCCAAACAGAATTCAGAGCAATTTTCACTTTGGGCTGTATTACTTCCCCAGTTTTCTAGGTATGAATAATTTGGCGCTGCCCGGCGTGCTGCCGCGGCGCGGGCAGGCGGGCGGCCTGGGCGCTTCGCGGGCAGAGAGGGTCGTCGCGCTGGGCCCGGCGGCGGTGACGAGCTGGGCGCGCGGCCCTGTGCGGCTCCGCGTGCGGCGGCCGCAGTGCCCCCTGCCGAGAGGGGCAGCTCCCGGCCCGGCGCTGGCAGTGATTGACCGTCCCCAGCGCGGCGCTGACACCCAGCCACGGGTGATGCTCAGCACTGCCACTTCATTTCAGATCACTGCGCGGAGATAACAGAAGTGCATATCAATATAAAACCGCTGCTCACTTGTTCGTCTTCATTTTTTAGACATGTGACGGTTTGTTGCTCTTGAGGTTGGGCTGGAAAAATAGGGATGCTTCACAAAAAATACTTGTTTTTAAGACTCTTGGGTTTCATTCGCCTGGCTTCCTGCCCCCACTAAACGAAGGTTACTTTTCAATTAGCAATTCAGGAAGCACGTTCCAAAAAAATATTCTGAAAGAAATATTCTGCAATGTTCTGCATATGCACCCAGGTATCACAAATATACGTATCTGCAAATGTTTTTAGAATACTTGTGTTCATTTAAATCATTGAAGAAAACTAACTCAGTTTTATCATCTTGCAGTAGGTCAAATTCAATAATCCTTGCAATAGGGATCCAATATACTTTTTTTTTTAAAGTAGATGAAATTTATTTATATATATAATGCACATTCAGTACTTGCAGGGCTAGAGCATAGGGTGGTATGTATGTACATACCTCAGCAATTTATATCCAGTACTTACCAAGTGTTTGGATATATTTAAGAATTCTTTTGGGAACTTTTGGGAAACTTTTAAAGCAACTGTAGTTAAAATGACTATTTCCTCGTATTTAACATTTCCTTCTTCTAAACAATTTTTCTTATTGGTAGTACACTGATAATGAAAGTTAATGTATGCAACAGTATGCTCTGGGAGACAACCTGATCACATCAGCACCAAAATTAATCTGAAGTAGTATTTCTGAAAATAAAGGAATTGCGTTTTGTGGTTTAAAAGAATTGGGAGATCAAATTCTCTTATATGCTGTTGCACTTTCTTTTGAGATGCTGGGATAAACTGTAGACATTCATAAATATTGAAGTGGAAAGTAACAACTCTAATTTCTCATTTAAAATTTTACAATAACATCACACCTGTTTTCAAGAGGTCGTGAATGTGTCACCAAAGCTAGATAAATACGTGCTTTCAAGGATTTTTTTTGTTCAGGTAAATGAAGTTATGACTTCATGTCAAGACTTTTTTTTTTTTTTTTTTCCTTCCTGAGGGGTTAGCTAATTTTGTTTTGTTTTGTTTTCCACTTTAGCTAAAAAATTAGGAATTACTGATGTGCCAGCTGAGGTGGTTACTTTTATTTCCCATGCAACACAAAACAGATTAAGAACAGTGATAGAAAAAGTAACAGTGATAACACAGCACCGTATGGAGTCACACAAAGTAAGTGTGTAAAGACAAGGTATTAAATGCTATAAAATGACACGCAATAAGCTATTTCTTAACACACTGTAGATTTGTTGATTTTGTGTGCAAAGTAAGTAATCTAAAATATTTTTAGTAATGAAATTATTCATCCTAGTTGTTTTTAATTGGCAAAGCTGTGTCTCATTCTTTTTTTAAAAAAACATTTGATATCTGTGTCATTGACCAATTCTTATATTTCCACATGAATAGATACTAGCTAAATAATGAAAAACTACCTATGGTATTAAGCATAGGCTGGTTTCATTCTTTTGTTATGACGTATTACTCTGCCATTAGTGTTGGGTGGTGTTTTCTTTTTNTGGTACTTCATTGGAAGGAGAATATGGCATAGTGTTTGAAGTCTTGTTTAAATGCATAGCCTTGAAGAGAATGAATGTTTCTTATAAAATGTTATTCTCATTTTGCAGGATGATGAATGGTATGAACAAGCTACAGATGTCCGATCACAGTTGAAGTTTTTTGAACAGTTGGAACGTTTAGAAAAGCAAAGGAAAGATGAACAAGAGAGGGAAATATTGCTAAAGGCTGCTAAGGTATCTTCCTCTTTTTCTCCTTTTTTTTTTATAAARTGAATTTCTGTGAAGTCAAAATTTAATAAATAAGTACATGAGCAACAACTTCCATTCCTGTAGATTACAGAAAGAGCCAATTATTATAACATATTTTGCTTGATTAGAAGAAATCATGAAAGTATTCAATGTGTGAATCAGCTTCATAAACAGAAACTGATAGGAAGCAGCATGATATAAATATTTGTGTGGTACACTAGAAATATATATGATGATTTTTTTTCTTTACGTAGCCGTGGAATAGCAATTCTAATTTATCAGTATTGATGTTTAATGTGAAGTTAAGGATATTTTGAACTTTCTGGGATGTGCTTATATAATGTTGTGATTAAGTATTAATGCCAGTTTGGCAGTTAACTTAGTGTTTTTCCATTACAGGATGTTCAGCTTGTTCTTAACCTTGCTCTTTCTATGGATTGACTCTATATTAAAGGAATTTTATAGTACAATGTTCAGATTTTGGCAAAATACGATTGAATTACTTGTTTTTATTCTAACAAATGGATTTTTCATGATTTTCATTGCATCTAACTTGCAGTACAAATGCAAGGTCACTAGTGCATTAGCAGAAAGTGTTGTTAAGATCATTTAATCTGAATTCCTACCAAATCTTCACCCAGTAATCTGTGCATCAAACTCAAGGATTTGTCTGAACTACAACATGTCTGAATATTGGAAACCTCTGAGTCTTTTGGCTTCTTTTTTTGGTCCTCATGAACTTGCCTAGTTGTCTAAGAAGATCTAAGACTTTGCAGAAAGGATACAGTAATTGTAATGACACACTTATTAAAATGACACAGTTAAAATCTGCCCCAGCTGCTCTGATAACGAGTGCTAAAGATCAGTAACCATTTCATGTCTGTTTGTGGCCTGCTGATTGATACTTGTGTCTGCAAGGAGAGTAATGATTACATTGGCTCTGGAGACCAAAATAGTGTGCAAAGAAGCTTCTTGGATTAACATGCCTTATGCTATATTACAATATAAAGTAATTTTATCATTTTATTCATATCCTGTAGTTAATTCTTTGGCTAAATGGGGGGCATCAATTTGTAGAGCCCCAACTGTGGTGCATTCTGGGCACACTGCATTGGCACCAGGGGGAGGGGGTTGCTTAGGCTTTGTTTTGTCTCTGCTGTGGCTCTAGCAGAACGAGTTCAATGTACATCTTGTTTTGCTGCTGTCTGTCTGCAGCTGTATCATCATGGTGTGAGATGTTGACTAGTGAGGAGGCTTTTTTCTCCAAAAAGCAATCATCTTTTATGCTCAGTATCTTAGGATATTGTCTTACTAACAGTGCTAGCACTTCATATAGGCAACATTGTGTTGTGTCTCTTAAAGATTAGATTCTAAAATGAAATTAAATTTGTGATTCTGATTTCTTTTTGTAAATGCTTAAATCTAAAAATCAGAAATTTATTCTCTTTTAAAAAAGCTGCAGTTTATTAATGGAACTTGGACAAAGAGAACAATCTTTTATCTTGTACGTGTGTTGACATGTTATCTAACAGCATGTTTAATTTAAAGATATTCAACAGGATAATTTTAGGGGAGGTTTCAAAATTGCCTGCTAGTGATACCTAGGCTACTGTCTGGTATAGAATACAGGTTTGGCTTGCTCAGTCTAAGCTATATTTTAATTAAGTATTTACACTTTGAAGCCTTGCTAGCAACTGAAGTAGGGTAAGATAACGCTGAAGGAAGGGTTTTAGGCATTGGAGTGGATGGTGTGAAAGAATCATCTTCATTAGGAAGAGATGATGGAGAATGAAGGAATATAGCTGGAAGTGATGGTGATTCGTGATGAATTGGGAAGCTTTGAAACTGATTTTGTAATTTGCATTAGAATTTGGTAAGGAGGAAATATAAATGATAGTCGATGACGGTGCCATTTGTGCAGTTTTGTGTTGTTGTTTTGAGGTTTTTTTAAGCTGATAGGAAAATATTAAGAAAGTATCAGTGTTCTGACTGACCTGCAACTAATTTCAGTTACATTGGGATATCATTAAGGAATTTATAAGCATCTTAAGAGGGCAGGTTTATATTCAGGAAATGTTTTGAGAAGAATGAGAGAGAAAACTACAGATGTGGGGACAGGAGAAAACACAGTTAGGCTTCAGAAACTGATTTGAGATTTTTGGCATTGCTATCCAAAGTCAAAACCATCGTGGAGCTAGAAGACTATCTTGAAAGCAAAACAGCAGTCTTATTTGGCTTGTCAAGTGACAAACCATTAAAAATCCTATGTGCCATGACAGGGGAATACTTGGGAAATAGAAGCTTCATACCATAAGCTTAGAATGGTAATGACTGATGTTAATATTACAGTAAGATATTTTGGGGAAGGGTAAACTTGACAGGATGGAAGACTCATAAGGGGTGCTGTTGCAGCAAGTGCAGCATACAATTATTTTTTCTTTAAAATGGGAAAAAAATGAAAATGTGACTGTACTGTTTTAGGAGCTAGCGTGATCTCTTCTGCATCAGAGATTTTTGCCTCACGTACCACAGGGAAGCTTGGACTGTATATCCACAAAGCAGTTGTTTTTCCAGTAGAAATATTTTTAAATATATCAGTCCCCAAACTGTGTGATCCGTGATCCCCAGCCGGCCGCTGCTGCAGTCCCCCCTTGCTGCAGCCGGGCAGCACGAGCAGGGTTTGATGTCGGAGCTGCACAGGGAGCGACTACGACCGACTTGAGCGTCGCTACTTTCTTCCGGATTATCTTCCTAACATGCCAGCGATAGGGTAAAGGAACAACAGCCCAAGGAGAGATGATCTTTTATTTATGTTTCTGGAGAGCAATATCTGCACAGAAAGCATTTGGCAGAGTCAGCTCTTCCCCTCATGTGTTTTCCTGTGGCTTTTCCCTTTCCGTATTCACTGCCGGCTGCTCCTGGCATCTTCGCCACAGAAGAGATCTTTCAATTCCATTGTGGTTGGCGTGGGAATCACAAAAAGAGCGAAGGAGAGTCGTCCGACAGCAGAAAGGTCAAAAGTCAGGCTGAAATCACTTAGAAATTTACCTTTACGTTTGACATGGTGTGTGTTGCGTGGCCCTTCTAGCATAGGAAAGTGCAGGTCATGCTGTAGTGCAAGATTTGTTCCTTGCACCCTTTGCTGCTGTTCCAAATCCTGGAACATGTAGGTTGTATGTGACAAATAGAACAGGGTTCTCATCATGGGGTAAGGATGGAAATACTGCTGGTAGCAGGCAAAGAAATGCAGGATAGGAGATTGAATAGGAGAGTAGGAGTTGATTATTTTTGATTTGTGCTTTCTATAATAAACAACATAGGTTTCTCCTTGTCTTCAGGAAAACAAAAAACCAATACTCTGTATAATAAAGCTGATGTTAAAATTATTGTATTCGTTCATCTAGTGAAGCTCTCTAAATGCCCATTTTATTGACCGATTATTCATTTCGTTCATTAGGTCTTTAATAGACTATATTTTGGAGATTCATTTATTAATCTGTTTTTTGGATGTTCTGTATCAATAATACTGGCCATCGACTTTTCATATATTAAAAGTACAGTAGACACAGAGGTAAGATTTGCTTTATGGCTTCTATTCTGTATCACAGAATTGGGAAATTGTTGCTGAAGGTAATTGGTATTTATGGCTGATAGTGGCTGTAGGTGAAGGTAACAGTCTTGGCGGCTGAGGGGCTTGTTTGTTGGAGGGATCTCATGGAAATGCGGTTGAGCGGAGCCGGTTCCCTGGCTGTCGCTCCTGAGGGCRCTGCCTCCTGCAGCCGGAGCAGCTTGGCCCTCCTGCCAGCTTAATCCTTCCCCTGCTGCCTCTGCGAAGGCAGGGGAYGTAGAGCGGCTTTCTGTGAGGTGAGCGCTCTCTGAACTGCACCTTGCAACTCGTTTCTGATGAGAGCAAAGGCAGGTGACTGTGCTGAGATCGCCTTCTGTATTTTTAGGAATTTCGTACTTCAATTTGAATGATTTTTAAATAAATCTTCTCGAGACCTGTGCTCTTGCATTCCACCTCAGTGTGGTTGTGGCTCTGACTGGGGTTTTACCCTCAGCTATGCCGCTTTTAACTTTCACTTTTTATTAACAAAGCTAATGTGAAAGCAAAGTGTTTCATGTTGCCAATTTAATTTCTTTAATTAAAAGTGAAAGTTATAAGCTGGTACAGCCGTGGGTGAAGTTCTAATGTCATCAATGGGGAAAAATAGGTTTAAAATTGAAACTGTTGGCGTAGTAGTGAGTTTCAATAGTACAGCACCTGCAGTTGTGACTGTTAGCTTTATTTAATGAAAAAAGTGGAAAAAAATGAATTTAAAGCATTAAGAACTCCTAGTATATATACTGGAAAAAGGGAGCAGAGCTGTAAGTGCCTTAGCAGTGATCAGGTCTTGCTGAAAGCAGGAGAGAAGTATGTGCCCAGAAGACACCTTGAGAGCTTTTAAAACACAGATTTTACAAGCTGAAGGCTTTAAAACTGTTCTGGGAGAAAAATTTTATGTTACTGGGAGAAARTGTAAGAGCAGCGCAGCTTTCACATTACATATTACAACAGAATACTGAATAATGATCATGGTTACATAGGACAGATAGTCTGCCCTAGTATTTAGTCTGTGTAGATGAGCAGAGTATTGCCCGATTTAAAAAACAGTTCTTATATCTATTAGAGTACTAAATTAAAGTTTCCTTTATAAAAGAAAAGAACAAGATACTTCTATGAAATACCAAATCCATCTCTTAAAACCAAATCTATCTCTTAAGAATGCAGGTATATGTGTGTAATTAGAGGTCAGCTTTTGTGGCATTTGTGCTTTTTATCTTATTAAAGTAGGGAGAAAAAAAAGCTGGGGTTTGGAACATTAAGGAGTTTGGGAAACATGTAAATGAACCCCCTTATTTCTAGGCTATTTTGAATATGCTTCTTAGCATATGCTGCTTTTCTTACTTTCAAAGTATAMTATTTCCATAGAGCTAATGTGATCTATGCAGTTTTCAGATAAATAAGATAGCAAGTTCTCTAACTTAAAACGCTTCAATTCTTAACAATTAAAATATCAGGCTGTCTGGTCTAGTAAAAGGAGATGGTGTTTTGAAGAAATGTTAGCAAACCTGGTTTGGTGAATATGTTCTTGACTTCAGTAGCAGACAACATTTAATGTCTTTAAAAGTAAGTTGTCTGGTTAAGATCAGTCCTAGATTTTTCTAAAATTACTATGGGAAGCTAGCTGGCTTCTAAAGAGATTTATTCACTGACACAAAAAAATATGTGTTGCATAAATCCAGCTTGCTTCATTTACTGTTACACATATGAAGAATAGAGGTAGGGAGGGAAGAGAGTCATGATGATTTCTTTGAATGTATTCCAGGAGACTTTCATGGTGTTTGGCTCTTTTTGAAGCACTAGAGGAAACAGGCGTTAGTGCTGTAAAAGATTTTGGGAAAAATGTCTGTTTGACAAAGGAAAATGAGGCATGGCAGGTTCAGATTTGGAGGTTAGAGGGAAAAGAGAAAAAGAGAACAAGAATGTGGGATGACTGAAGAAAGAATTAAAACTACATACATGCAAGAAAAAAGGGAACGRTTAGCCAATAGCTCAGCAAAACAATGTGTAGAATATTGAAATAGTTGATGAATAAAAATGGTGATAGACAGGCATTGCAGGAGCTGAGCAGGAGCAATATTACTCAAGCCCTTCAAAGGAAGGAGATGCTCACATGTGGAATGGAGTGTAAAGAGAAGCCAGTGACATTTTTAAAGCCTATCTGGGCACCTCTATTAARTTTGACATTTTTGTTTGCTTATGTGTGCTTTAATCCATGTTACATCAACACAGAAAAAGCCATTAATAAATTATTTTAAAATTTAAAATATATGATTTTAAAATAAAGAGTTAATAAAGTGATAGTGGTTTATCCTTTTCCGTTAACATATTTTAGCCTACATATTCTGATGAATTTGTGCCTAAAGTTTACTGATTTCCAAACTGATTTAGTAACCGACTGTCAGGAAATGACTACACAATCTGTCATTAAAAAAAAAAATATCTGGACACAAAAGGAAGTGGAAAATGACAGTCACAAATGCCATTGTTATTATTATTATTATTATTAGTGTGCTGCTTTATACCAGTAATAAATGCACCCATCAGGTGTAAAGTTGGAATTCTAGTTAATCTGAAATGAGAGTTGTCTCGAGCTCTTTGAAGAGAATTCTTGATATGGGTTAAATGAATAATCAGAAATTCATTGTGTTACTCTGGATGTAAGAATAGTTCTACCATAACTTCCAACTCTAGATTTACCTAACATATCTGATATTTTCTATCTTCCCTACTGATGGAATTCCTGTATTTAATATCATTCAGGACTTGTCTATGTGTTTTTACCTCTGCAGCTTTTTTAATGCATTATTTTGCAAATGAACTGGAGGTCTGTGCAGAACAGATCATTTTATTTTGTTCTTATTTTCAGGGTCTGTTTTTTTTTTTAGATTATCCTGAACTGCAAATCTTATTGTAATAGATAAGCTTCTGGGGGAAAAAAAWCTTTTAAATGTAATATTGTGAAAGGTGTAGTACTTTTATGAGTTTTTCCTTTGCTTATGGTGTCCAAAAAATTGAGATGATATTTTGCATCTTGTGCTTTCAGTTTGTCATTATGTCCCCAAATCCAGTATGGATCTGGTATGTTTTCCAAGATGCTATCACTTGTAGAAACTTGATAACAGTGTTAGAAGTCTCAGCTTGATTCTCCAAGGACTCAGCTTTCTCCTTAAGCTCAAGTGCTTTTAACTTGCACTTTACATTTGACAATGATTCAGCTTTGTGCAGTAGTGTAAGAAAACTTTTTATTTCTGCTGCTTTCWCTGTGAGACTCTGAAGGCAATGGAAGTTCACTGTACTTTTATAAATATATCATCAGAATATTATGAAAGGACTGAATTTGGTTTCCTATATATTACGCCGGAGAAACTGAGGCACRCAATGATTAATCTGTGATGAAAAACAACAGAGAAAGGACAGAAAGGACCCACCAGCTCGGTTCCTAAATACTTACTTAAATCCATTTCTTACAGTAGCAACTTAACTACCTTTTATTTATTTTTACAGACTAAGTACAAATATAATCAAGTTCTTAATAATATCACTATTGAGTAGAACCCCAGTTTCTTGGCAAATCCACACATTTCTTGAAATACTTTTCTGTTTTTTAAACATYAACTAGGTCAGATTATATCCTGCATTTGTCTTTTTGTCCGACCACTGAAGTTGGAAGGAATCTCAGGCTACATAATGCTGGAGTATTTTCTTATTGGGCAGAACTATGACATTAAAGTCTAATTTAGTGATTAATTATCTACAGTTTCTAGTTTTTCGTTAGTTGGCTCTAGACCCTATCCTATCAAAGTGCCTTTTGTGCATTGTTAGTAGTAGGTGGTGCTGAAAGAAGGAGCTGATGTGCACAGCAAAGGAATCAAGCACATCTTCAAAAAATCTTGTTATTGTTTAATTTTGATCTGGACATGCTTTTTACATGTATGCCATATTAGCTTAACATGTGGTCTAGGTTTGGGGAAAAAAAAARARWATATATATATATATAGTGTATTGAGAGTCTTTTGTCCCCTGTCTACCAAATTACAGTCAAGGCTTACTCCAGATATGTTTACAATATGAAATGCATGAAATGCTCCCCTGCCTTCAAAATATCTCTCTTTGGATTTCATCATGTTTTTTCTTTTTTTTTTAATCTGAAAAAAATCATGAAAAATCCAAACAGTGAAAAAAAAAATCTTGAGTGTATATATGTTTGCAAACTACTACTCTTTCAAGTTGCAGGTAAATCTTCAGCGTAGAACGGGGCAGACAAAGATGGATACTGTTATTTCTTTAGGAGTTATGTAAAGAAGTTCACTTCAAATCTCAAATATTTTAATAAATATTTCAGGWATCTTTCAGGTATCAGGAACAACTGTTTTCTGTATGTATCATAAGATATCCACAGATTTTACTATCTTACAATGTCCTGTGATACTTTTTTCTGAATACTGATCAATCATGCAATTCGGGAAGCATGCTAATATGTCATCTGCCTCTGGGGTTCTGAGTTTTGTCCATTTGAGTACATGTATTGAGTATTAATAGAAAATTATAGTTACTATTTTTAACATATAATTAAAAATAGTACAGCTATTTTTAACATATAGTTAAAAGTAGTACAGTTATGCAACACTATCTGAGGAAATGTACTGTCATGTGTTGTGAGTGCAGTTAATTAGTCATTGATGGATATTGAAAGCTATAGTTATTATTTTTCAGGGGGGAAAATATGAAAATTACCATTTATTAATATGTCTCCAATTTAAAAAATGGCAACAATAGTATTAATAGTGGTAYGTGAATGAATTGCTTATGTGTATTTTAATGCTGTACACGAAGTAAATTCATACAGATAATATTGTTATCACAAAGTTTTACTTTTTGAGAAGTTGACTTTAGACTTGTTTTGTACACGTTCTGTGTCTATTTGCCAACAAGTGAAGAAAGTTTAGTTGCTTTTGGTTTTGTTTATTTATTTTTTTTAAAAATTGACTGAAGTGTTTAAATTAAAAAGATTGGATAATTGTGAGAGTGTCACTTGCAGATCTTTGAATTTGTATTTGTAGTAAGTAATTGAAATCAAAAGCTGTACGGAAACTTTAGAATTGGCAAAAGCAGAGATTTTTTTATTATTATTATTTAAATCTAAAGTAGATCTTATTTACATCTGAATATTTAACAGTCTTTTGGGTGAGGCCTACGGGTTTGAAATTGCACTTCTATGAATTTAAGCATCCCGTCTTTGGCACCTTGTATCCTGTTCCCTTTTCTTTGCTGTTTTTTAGCTTACTGCAACAGATGAGGGGATCTTAAACCATCTGTTAACCTTTTTTCCCCATTTTTTTCAACATGTAGAGTCGCTCAAGGCAAGAAGACCCAGAGCAAGCTAGACTGAAACAAAAAGCAAAGGAGGTAAGCAGAGTTAGAGATCATTACACTTGACATTTCAAGGCTTGAACATATTAATTTTTTATGCCTTGCTACTTGTATATCGTTAATAAAAATCTGACTAAAAACTTTTTAGGATGTATTTGTTGCTTTGCCTTTGATCTTAATGTTTGCAAACTAATACATTAATACATGTGAAGCCTAAGGAGATTTTTATAAGAGAATATTTCCATACATTACATTTTCATTTCCATTTTAGGTAGCTGTAGTTTTTGTTGGTTGTTGATGTCAACGACATTAGATTTTGGTGGAAAATACATGCCTTTGTCATTTTGTAAAATGTCACTGTCTTAGAAATATGTTACTTTAGTTAACAATTTGGATTTGGTAGTAGTCTTTCATTTCATAGTTTTGCATTTTTTTTCTCTACTGTGTCATTCAGTGTGCTATTTATTCAGTCTAAATTACAATAATCTTAAAATTATAAAATAATTTCAACTAAAGTTTTGCTGTGTSAGTCAAAGGGTAGCATTTTGTGAACTACTCAGTAGCCTAATTTGCTGTAAATGAGAGTGTCTGTCYTTTGCTTAAGATATCTTATGGCTTAAGATCAGGTGGTAGCGTACTTAAAGACCTAAAAATTACATCAATGGAAAGGCATTCCTACTTTAAAAAAAAAAAAAAAAAATGAGCATCATCATCTTTGGGAAATAGAAATAATGCATTAGAAGAAAATATATATGGAAAAATGCACATAACGAGTACTTTTCTATTGACCTGTTTTTCTGGTTTTGTTTTGCTATTGGCAATATTTTATTGCTCCGTTAGCTGTACAGATTTTATATATACTACAAAAAATTACACAGATGAGTTTTATTTATCTTTTCTGATTCTGTGATGAGGCAGCAAGAGTTGGCAAAGTGAGTTCTTGTAAACTTTATGCCGTGTTTCCAGACCTGGTTTTAAACAGAAAGAGTAATCAAGTTACTTGACTGGAAAAGACTGAGGATTTTAATGCTACTTAAATTTAGTATGTGGAGAGAATATGGAAAGGAAGGATTAGATTTGAAAATATGTGAAAATGGTGGGTGCCTGGGAAATGTAGCAAAACTTACTGTTGAGCTGAGAACTAAAACTACTGTGCTCTTGCAAAGGAAAGCAATCTAAAAATAACTGTGGCACCAAGAAATGCATTATTTCTGGTAGTTGTGGTTCTTTTTGTCCATTGGAAACTTGAGGATGAAAAAGTAAACAACAGGGCTAGTAAAAATATGTATTTTTTTTGCCATCAGAATGAAGCAGCGGTTGTCCTTACAGCTGTGACAGAAGGCTTGCTCTGTAGCCAGTACTGTTGCCTTTCCAGTGTCTAACCTCTCCTATGAAAATTCAGCATGTGCATTTAACTTGTATTTCTTACCCGCTAGAGGGAGTGATGCTGTGCTGACTTGTGAATAAAAGAAAGTGTATGACATGTATTTTGAGTAGTGGTAATAATGATGAACAGTAGCATATATTTTTGGTGTTAATTAAAAATGCTTAGATCAAGTTGTATGAGGTTTGAAAGACTTGGTTTTCCTGGATTTCCTTGGTAACTTTTCTGAATAAATGTAGAATGAATGCTAGGTTTTCCGTTTCAGAGTGCTGCACCCTCTTCTTTTGTACGTTAGCCCTGCCTGTTTTCCCACCCTTCTAATGAAAGTGTATAATTTGCTGGCTGCATGCCTCTCTCTGAAGTTGCATTTCATTCTACCTATTTGAAACCATAAAAAAAGTCTGTCTCTGTTTTTACTAATTAGGGTTCTGAAACTTTCTTCAGCTGATTTAGAGACTTTCCCTTAAAATATTTAAGTGTATTTCATAAAAGTATATTCTTTCACAGTAACTGCTAGAAAGGAGGAAGTGGACTGGCAAGATTTTAGTTTAATATTTATTTTTTTTTATGCACTGGATACAAAATGTGTCCAATTCACCACTGAAATAAAAAAATCAGCAATTTATAGTACAAAAGACATACTAGCCAGATGTCATTTGAGATTGTTACCTGAAACTAAAGTTTTTGATCTAATTTGTACAAAAACATATTAGTTTAAAAAATTTATTGCCAGCTAGACTACTCTTAAGTGTGTTTATGATCCGTAATTGAAATGAAAGTTGAGTTTATTCCAGATTTTATGTAAATTGATGAATATAATACTGTTAGCTTTAATAATAAGCTGAATTTGAAGTTCTATTTCATGATATCCACAATGGCTTGCATAAAGACCCTTGTTGCTCATGTATTCTTCTGGCCAGCTGTGAGGTGACTACCAGCTAATATTTTAAAAATCATGAAGAGGACATCCAAGACACTTTCAACATTTTGTAGCTTGTGTAACTGCGATTGTGATGTGATGGATGTGATTGTTAGACTGTTTGTTTGTTTTCCTAAAGGATTATTCTGTTCCCTGCCAGGTTGAAGTGAGTAAACATCTAAAACAAAGTAAAACATACAAAGTTTAGGAAAGAGAATATAGACCATAATGGGAAGAATGGTGTTCTGAGCTTTGTCCTAATTCAAAACAAAATATTTAGTTCTCTTCTTTCACAGAGCTACTAACTGAAGTCACCTTCTTTCCTCCTATTGTTGTCATCAAGAAAATATGCGAGGAGGTCAGCATGCCCTTTGAGCAGACTTAGAAATGAATTTGTTAAGGTGAAGGTTATTTTATTTTTTGTCTGGTAGCTGTGTCTTACTGCACTTACTAGCCAGCCTTCAGGCCAGTTCACATATTGTTTGAACGAAACTGGCATAAATCAAGTTTAAATTGCCATTAAATGCTTACCAAAACAAACAGAAGGTCCATCTACATATGGTCTTGCTGTGGAGTCTAAACATAACAGTAAGGTTCCATTCACAGGCAGACTTGCACTGTTTTAGTTAAGTCAGTGCAAGCCCACTCTAATTTCTGTTTGATTGCCTRTTTTGCTTGAACTTCAGTCTGTTTCAAAGGGTTCTGACCAAGGGCGATAGGGGAGTGCCTTTGGGGAGGTTGTATTGCTTAAAATTCTCCATTCACTTTCACACTTTTAGTTACTTTTCAGCAGCTTTCCATGTAGGCTGTAGATGGTGATGTCTTTTGTCAGTGTCTATTACATTATTGCTGTAATGATAAACCTGTTTAATAGAAAAGCGGAAAATATTTTCAATTTTSAAGTATTTTCCTATTTCAGGAAAAAATGCTGCTCTTCAGCAGTTACTTATTACACTGTTTAGCAACAAAWTTGGCAACACTTGCCTTTCAGTGCAATTTAGTATAGGAAATAGCATCCTTTGTGAGTAGAGTGCACAGCATTTTGCCTGGTTACATTTTTGAAAAGCGTACTTTAGAAAATACCCTGTGATTTATGTAACTTATTGGGAAAAAAGAAAAAAAGGAACTCACAAATATACATTAAAGAAAAAGTGTCCTCTAAATTTCATAAAAAGAATTCATTAAATAGAACATAAAACAGACCATGTAACTGATAGCAGGAATAACTCATATTTGGAAAAGAATTGAGTCAATGCCTAGTAAAAGAAGAGGTTAGATCTTAAAACTACTTTCTATCATGGATATTYTTCTACATACTCAGTATCTGTTGGCTAACAGTCTTTTAAATTAAAAGTGAAGTAGCTGAGTTTGTTGATCCTAAAAGATTAACTTGGTTAAAATCTTTATGTCATCACCAACCAGGAATATTGCATAATAATAAAAACTTAAACCAGACGCTGTAAATGTCTGGGCGTGTATCCAGGGCCTAGATCAGTTTAGATAATGCCCAGTGGAACCTATTCTCCCATGCACTCTTTAACCAGGCGAGTGAAATCTCTAACCTGTTGATATTCATGATAGGGCACTCATAGAATATGAGCGGAGAGAGCAGACAATTCCATTTACATATCTTCATCAGTGCAGATAGCCCATCTTTCTAAAGTGTGATGCAGTTATTTAAGAGAGATATTTATTTAAGCTGGATGCTGTGGTGGCTGTTGCACAGGCTGGTGGCTTTGGGAGTTTTTGGCAGCTCTTGCATAAACAGACCATGGGCAGCTTCCCTCTGCTCCCTGGCGTAGCTGCATCCGCTGAAGTGCAGCAGAGCCTGCGCAGTCGTTCCCCCGTGCCCGCGATGTCTTCTGCTGCAGGAGCTTTAATGAACCTTATTCAGCTGATTTCTCCATTCTGAAACATGCTCTTTCTGAGCGATGGGCACAAAAGCATCTAGGCAGTAAGAGAGAGAGCGCGACACATAAAAAGCACAGGAATCTTTTCTGTTCTTTCCTCTTCTCCCTTCTGCATCTTTCACTGCCCCAGCCCCCACCAAAARGTATTTCATTGGATGTACATTTTATACAACTTTGACAATGCCTTAGAAATTTGAAATCCTGCATTTAAGTGTAAATTTTTTTAGCAGGAATACTGAAAATCTGCTTCAGCACTGTCTATTTAAAAAATAGATTATAAAAAAAGTTTACACTAAGTGAGTTTTTGGCACCGTGTTTATAATTATTTAGCAACTCAGTAGGAGTGGTGTCTTGTAAACTATGTAAATAATAGTGTACAGCAGTTATCCATGTTTTCATAAGGCATAACTGAAAATGAAAAACAAAGGAAAAGGTTTTTGTTTTGCTTGGTAAGCTCATTTATTCATTTTTTAAGCTGAACCAAAATGCTCAAACACTATGCTAGTCATGCAGAATCTTTCTTAATGAGAAATCTAAAAGAAATTTTATATTTTATCATGCCTGGCATAACAATAGCGATTCAAAAACAACAATCATCTCTTTTAAGAAGATTCTTATAAAACATTGCATTGAGGAGTTAAACTTCTGGATAGAAAATAAGTTAAAATTAATTTCCATTTAACTCTAACCCATCTAAAGGTCAATATATGGAAAGAAGAAAAAACTAAGGAATACGATACCTGAAATAATGTTACTTCAACATTTAGGCAATAGAGATGTCTCACAACTGGATTTTTTTTGTAACTGTTCTGCATTAGGCCGC